TTTTCCAGAGAGAGTAGTCTTTTAATGATTATGTAATAGCACATTAAAAGCAATGCTCTGGAAGAAGGTTTTTTTTTCCCCAAAAATTTTATTGAGAGACAAATAGCAATGAGACAGTTTCAAATCAAAGTTGTAGGACAGTTTCAATAATTAACACATTGCATATTCTCTTCCTAGTGGCTATTTGCTTTACAAGATGTAGACATGATATCCTATTTACAAACACTATTAGAACAAATCCCCCTATTCATTAAGAGAATGTAACTGTCCTACCTGTTTTGAATACACAGATACAAAATGGACATTCATTTATGTATCCCCTTTTTGTTTAGTTCCATCATTTGAATATTATAGGTGTGTTAACTCAGCCAACTATTCTAAAAGAGTCCAGTAGTCCTTAATAGTATTGGGTCTTCCGCCTGACTGGCAATGTCAGAAATTGTTGACAAGAGTCCCCTACAGCTCAACATAACAGCATGGCTTTACTTCTTATACTCCGTTTTTATACTTTTCTGCTGGTTGATTAAGACCAAGATGAATGAAGACCTATGCAACAAGAGTTGTAGCTTTTGGGTCTGATAAGGTCAGTCAAATCCCCTCAGGATTTATTCTGAGATCCTGTACCTCAAGACTGTAGTTCCTTTGTCAGTGTCAGCCATGTGGATGAGTCACGGCCATTGCTTGGCCAATGTGCTCTCTGTGAAAGCCTGAGAGAATGTTTTCTCTCCATGTGACTCTCGTTAGGCACACTCTACATCATCGATCACTTTCCTCTTTGGCCCCATAATCTCCTTGATCAGAAAATTTGGGACACTACTGAGTTACATGACGTTACAGTACAAGTTCTCGTATGTCCTGAGTCTTAATTGACCTTGGAAGGCTAGGGCCAAAATGTTGGCTTTCCTTGTGGCCCTCCTTTTTAATTTTGGTCTGCAAACTTAGGTTCTTAACCCTCCAGAAGAGAAGCTTATTGTTATTACCATACAACCTAGCCTTGTCAAGCTTAACCTCATTATCTGTCTGAATATCAAACATCTTAGGCACAACATGGAATAGGTATTTTTCATCAAGTATTGATATGAACTTTAAGTCCCTACAGAATATGATGAAAAAACATTTAAAAATTTTAAAAAATATATTTTAAAAATAGGCATAAAGAATTGCATAATTCTTATGTTTACACATAAGTCCAGAAATCTAACCTTAAGTCCAGAAATCTAACCGTATACAACCTTGTAGCAGGACAGTCCCACAACATTACTTTTCGTGTTTCCTGCCTTCATTCACCACCCCCTTCTTTTTGAACAATCATCTACTCGAGAGACAGCACAGCAGCAACTTGCATGTCATGACAAGCAGCCTGTATTCAGAAGACCAAAATGACAGGCACTCTAAGAATGAACCTACTATTACAACTTGCCATCTTCAGTGCAGTTTCTTAGTTCACAGGTGTCAGTATATATAGTTAGTCGGGGTGAGAATCATTCCAACTTCCACTGTTCTTAATAAACCACTATTTATCCTTTTTTGGTGACAATCTTCTGCTATTATTGGTGACATTTGCTGCTATGAATAGACTTGTACATGTTTCTTGATACACACAGATCTACATTTGATTTCTCTATACTGGGGGGTGGAAGTGCTTAACCAGAGTGTGACTATCTCCAAATTTAATACATAACACCAAGCAGTTTTCCAAAACACATTTTGCAATTTTTATTATTAGCAGAATGACATGAGACTTCATGTTGCTCTTTACGCTTATTTTCACTTTTAACCTGTTATTTGGTTGTATGTAATGATATCCTGTGGTTTTAAGTTGCATTTCTTTGATTACTAATGAATTTGAATAATATCGCTGACTTTTGGATAACCTCTCTTGCGCTGTTATTAAAACTGTTTGCCATTTTAGGTACCTTATCTTGGCTTATCTTTCCATTACTAATTTCTATTTGCTCTAATTGTTGCTGTACACAAATTAAAACCAAAGGTTTCAAGGATCACAGTCCCACTGGTCAGACATGGGCGGTTTCTCTTTTTCACTCATTCTTTGTAGTAGTAAAGCATCTAGTAATAAAAAAATTTGCTGCCATCAGCCACAGGTTTTGTCCTACGTGCATTCCCTTGATCTTTAAAAAGCAAGAGTTATCCCCAAAGTGGTCAGGTGAGTGGTGAGATTTCTGGCACTTTCCAAGCATCACTGTCACTGATTTGCACTGACTGCAGCTAACAGCTAACACCTGTACTTTCAGATTATTTCCCTTTTTCAAGTCCAATATATCTTGCTTAGTAAAATTTCCCTTCCCAACTTATTTACTGCTCTTTAAAAGCAAAGCAGTCTCCTACTTCATAATGTTCTACTCTTCAGAATACTAAACTGTTGGTTTAGATAGTCTGTTTAAACTTTTTCCATCTATTTCAATGGTCATATTATCACCAGTAATATGTAAAAATATTAAAATGAAAACCAGAATAAGTCTATATATAAATGCATGAAAAACTGATCATAAAGAGCTCATTAAAAGGATTGCAAACTTTCTATGAATACATAAGCAGTTCCACATACTAAGATATCTACAATGTTTATATTTTTTTAGAAGTCCTACCATTAGTTTTATAGCTGTTTTTCATATTTGTGAACATTTACAATCTTGATTCAACTATACAGTTGAAACGTTTTTCCCTATCTGAATGACTGCAAGGTTGGTTTTACTGCTATGTCTGTATTCTGATTAAAACACTGACTACAATAACTTCACTCATCCAGAGGCCACAGCTAGTACTTTTGCCATCAATTAATCAATAGATAACTTAAATGGCTAAGTACCGCTAGCCAATGTGATTAAGATTAATGATTGGTCAGTGATTGGTCTTTTTCAAAAAAAGTTATATGTGTGTGTGAGAAAAAGAACATGTGTATGTTTATATATATGTATATGTAACTGTATATGTATTTATACATACATACAATATTCCCCAATGTTCTGCTTGGTCCTAACAATGAGAGGAAGATTAATACTGCATGGCAAAATATGTCATCTTGTCTCCAAATTTTCTGATCAAGATTATGGGGCCACAGAGGAAAGTGATCGATGACGTAGAGTGCCTAAGGAGAGTCGCATGGAAAGAAAACATTTTCTCAGGCTTTCACAGAGAGCAAATTGGTCAAGCAAAGGGCATGACTCATCCACATGGCTGACACTGACAAAGGATCTACAAACTGTGGTACAGGGTTTCAGGATAAATCCTGAGGGGATTTGACTGACCTTATCAGATACAAAAGTTACATTTCTTGTTATATAGGTCTTGCTTTATCTTGATCTTAACCATCCAGCAGAAAAGTATAAAAACAAAGTATAAAAAGTAAAGTCATATTAATATGCTGAGCTGTAAAAGGCTCAAGTCACAACTTCTGACATTGCCAGTCTTACGGAAAACCCACTACTATTATGGACTACTGGACTATATTGGAATATTTGGACAATATTGGAATATTTTGCTGAATTCTCATACCTATAATATTTAAATGACAATGGAATGCCCTTTTCTGATAAACTAACCAAAAAAGGGGGATACAAATGAACGATCATTTTGTATACTCAAAATAGAATAGATATACAGCTGCATTCTCTTAATTCAATGAATAGAGAGATTTGATCTAATAGTGTTTGTGGAAAGAATATCATGTCTGCATCTTGTACAACGAATAGCCACTAAGACAACAATATGCAATGTATTAATTATTGAAACTGTGCTAGTAACTGTTTTTGAAACTGTCTCATTGCTATTTGTTTCTCAATAAAATTATTAAAAAACCCTTGTCTCAAAAAGATAATAAAAAGTTAAGCAACTGATACTGTTTTAAAACATTAATTTTAAAATGTAAACTCTTTTCTATTAGTTGATAATCTAAGATTCTATGTACAAAAATGACAGATAAAGTTGAATTATTTTCTCTGTCTACAACATGGAAATAATCTAAAGATAACTATGATATATGAGATTCTAAGATCTCTTAAAGTTGGAAATTTTAACACAAATAATATAAATATAAATATTGTTGTGGTCCTGGGAAATGAACCCAGGCCTAGCATATGTTAGGCAAATGTCTTACTACTGAGGTATATCTTACTGCTAAGACTTTTTTTATGAATAAAAGTATTAAATAATAATATGATTTCTATAGACAGGATAAACCATACTGCATATATTGCAGGTTAATAATTAGCTTCTCTTCTAATTCTCTAAGGGTTAACAACTTAAGTTAGCAGATCAAAATTTGGAGAAAAAGAAGGGCTGCATGATTAGCCAACATTTTGGCCCTAGCCTTTCAAGGTCAGTGAAGACTCGGGACATAGGAGAACCTGTACTGTAACAACATGTAACTCAGTTGTGCTCCAAACTTTCTGATCAAGAAGATTATGGAGCCACAGAGGAATGTGTTCAATGACCTAAAGTGAGCCTGGGGAGAGTCACATAGAGAGGAAAAACATTTTCTCAAGCTTTCACAGAGAGCAAATTGGTCAAGCAATGGCTGTGACTCATCCTCAGGTCAGACACTGACAAAAGAATGTACAAAAGGTGGTACAGGGCTACAGGATAAATACTGAGAGTACTTGGCTGACCTTATCAGATACAAAAGTTACAATTCTGGGTATATAGGTCTTGTTATATCTTGGTCTTAACCATCCAGCAGAAAAGTATAAAAACAAGGTATGTGAAGTAAATCCGTATTAATACGATGAGCTGTAAAAGGCTCAAGTCAATAACTTCTGAGGATAACCCACTAATATTATAGACTGCTAGACAGTATTAGATGTTTAGTTGAATTCAAATACCTATGGTATTTAGATGCCAATAGAATATTCACCTCTGACAGGACAAATAAATAAATAAAAATTTTTAAAAAAGAAAAAATAATAATAATATGATAGGCTAAAAACTATAGTCTTGGTCCTCACAAATGCACTTATTTTGGGCCCGTGAAGCTTCTGCCTTACCTTTAATAATTCAAAATAATGCCAACAATGATACACTGGCACCAACATAAGGCGTGGAAGTACGTAGCGGACTGCTTCTTTAAAGCCATCAGCAATGGACTGCAAAGCAAAAAGATGTAATATTGTATTTCTGATACCAAGGTTACATACAGCAGTGCCAAACAGAAACAGCTTTTAAAAATACAAGATATATTCTTATCAAAATTATAATGGAAAGGTCAACATACTGTGAAATTGAAGGGCTATAAATCAAGTTATTTCCTGTCTTTTCTACCTTAAATTATACATACATACATACATACATACATACATATATGTATATGTTCACACACAATAAAATAACTTTTAGAAGCAAGTTTAAAAATAGTCTCCTATAGCTTTTCTTCACACATATGGGCTTCTATATACCCTACAGGAATTTGAAAGCTATGCACTTTCTTGCACATTTTCATATTATCAGCAATGTTTTAAATAAATAGTTTTAAAAGATGTATTTTGAAGGATACTATATATTACAAAAGTAACTTAAATACACCTAACCCAAAAATGACTGAATTTGAGATTTAGCTCATTTAATAAAAATGTTTGGCATATACTTTAACTGATATGCTAATCTTCACTGACAAAATAAATATCTAGATCAAACTTAACTTGTCAGGGGACTGGGGAGATAGCTCAGTAGAATAAGTGCTTTCCTGGTAAGCACAGGGTCCTGAGTTCAATCCCCGGTACCACAAAAAAAAATAATAAATAAAAATAAAAACTTAATTGGTCCGAGAGTTGGGTATATAGCTCAGTGGCACAGCACCTGCTTGACAAACACAACGTCTTGAGTTTGATTCAACCTTTGCTAAAAAGGACAAAAATGAAACAAAACACAACAAATTCTTAACTGCTTAGAAAGCCTGATTTCATCCTTAAATTCCAATAAATGTATAATATTATTGTCTAAGGAGTTGAATCATCTGAAAGAACTTTATGCTGCTCCTAACACAGTATATTCAGGCAGGGAACACAAGCCACCTCTGTACTCCAAATGAATGAAGCACCTTTTAATGAAAAAGTTAACATTTATCACTGTGATGATACTATCTCAATTCATAATTCTTACATAAATACAACAAAACATAGTATTTTACTACCAAGAATTTTTAATATAATCATTCCAAACCTTGCTTTTGAAAACTCTGATAGTATGCACTGAGAACTCTCAGAAAAAGTAACTTTTTCTTTTCTCCTAATTGGTGCCCTGGAGATTTTTTACGCCTTGGATCAATGCATAATAGTAAATTCAGTATGTCAAGGAGTAAAATACACGAGAAGATGGGAAAGGAAAATGTAAAATGTATAAACAAGGTCTCAGGCAGACTATAAAGTGATTCCCTTGAAGCTATTTGTGCTGTTGTGTCCTTTGGAAACTGTACAATCTGATACACTCCTGTTTTAAAAAACAATACTTTGTAGAATAAATGATTTTGTAAGTTATTGGAACTTAGAAGTCATTTATGCCGATTTTAAACGTCTTTAAAGTTTTTACTGGTATTTCTCTCCATAAGACAAACATTGATAGGACCACTATTTAATGTAAGAAAGAACCTAATATGCTTCCTTTTTAAAATATCATCATAAGGGGCCGGGGAGATGGCTCAGTAGGATAAATACTTGACTGGCAAACGCAAGGATCTGAGTTCAATCCCCGGTTCCGAAAAAAAAAAAATATCATAGCCAGAGAGATAGCTCAGTGGAATAAATGCTTGCCTGGCAAGCACGAGGTCCTGAGTTTGATCCCTGATACCACCAAAAATAAGTAAATAAATTTTAAAAAATCATAAACACTCTCATAACTGTCATGTTTTATTAAGTAAAGTTAAATTATAATTTTCCCAACGAAATTGTTACCTGGTAGCCAGATTCTTTAAATCAAGAAATATAAAACAGGTGCTCAGAGATAAGTGCGTGTTTAGGATTCAAGAGGGCTTGGGCTTGATCTCCTGCATTACCAAAGTTGTGTGTATGTGTGTGTGTGTGTGTGTGTGTGTGTGCGTGCATACCTGAGAAAGAACCAACTACTTCCTAAACATTAATTTCTTTTTGCTAGGGTCTGACTGTTCTTCAAAATTCCATGCTAAAACCAGAGCTCTGAGATGAGAAATTAAACACGTAGGGCCTTTAGCAGGTGATGAGGACAGGAGGGCAGAGAGCTCATACCAGGATTAGCAGCCTCCGAGGGGGCCAAGGGAAGTGTCTCTGCCCCCTTTCCCATGTGAGGACATAGTGAGAAACGGCTATCTGTGGATCAGAAGAGCAGCCCTTTATCAGATTCTGAATCTGCCACCTCCTTATCATGGAGGTAGTGTCTCCAAAACTGTGAAAAAGAAACTGCTCTTATTTATAAGCCACCAAGTCTATCTTGTTATGGTAGCACAAATGGACTAAGACAACATTAAAATAATTACTATACTGACTTGAATTACTCTATTTTATATTTAGCTCTTTAATTTGAATCAGTATGAAACCTTGAAATTAAGTCTATAAAGACCATCTGGTTGTTAACTTGCACTCTAAAACTTTTGCAATGTGTATATACAGTGTAGTCTTCTGATAATTTATAGTAACATGAGCTAACCTCATTGAGGGCTTAATCTCTGTTCAATGTCCTTATGTGTATTACTGTTCAATGTTCATAGTAACTGTAAGAAGTACATATTATTTTCATTACCACTGTTCCAACAAGCAAACTGAGAGCCACAGATATGTGGCACAATTATTACCTGGGCCAAAGCCTGAATTTAAGCACATTTCCTGAAGTTGTACTGCACAACTTCTAAAGATTTTTTTTTTAATTTATCATTTGTTGGGAGT